GGTGTGGGTGTGGGTGTGGGTGTGGGTGTGGGTGTGGGTGTGGGTGTGGGTGTGGGTGTGTGAGTGGAAAAAAAAGAGAATATCCACACCCACACCCCAGACAGCTTATATCGAACACAACAACATGGACATGGACCATCACCCATAAAACATCACCTCTAGCGATGCCAATAGCAAGAAATAAACGAGTACATCGAATTCAATTTGTAACAGCAATAACTCAATACGATTCGGAATTTTGGATATCATTAGATGATATGGATTGTCATTCATATATTCTTCGAATTCCAAAGGAATCGCTTCTGAAGTTATTACAAAGAGAACATCAAATTTACGTCGAGCCTTTTGGAACATGGTCATGGTCAGTTACGATTTTGACCGATAAACCGGTAATGAAGTTATATTTTGAGTTAGAAGAAGAACAAATCTCAAACTCTTTTGTTTCATCTTACAATGTATCAAATTTTTTTTTAATGCAAAAGATTTAAGAGATCAACAACAATTAATCTTATAATTTACTGTTTTGATATAAATCAGCTGTTCGTATAATTAACAGGAGAAAGTTTAATAGCATAATTAAAATCAATTTGCAACTCTCTCTGTCAATACAAACAATTTGTAAGTCACTTATACATATATTATCTATAGGATTTCTGAAACTTTTTATTCATTGCTTTATTCTTTGAACGCATTCTGGCACCGATAGCTAAAACAATATGTATTTAGTTTGCACTTTGTACTTTTAAAACTATATTTGAAATATGTATTATGTATAGCAATAGTTCAGCATAGAATTTTACTATATTTAATAATTTTATATTCTTCAACATCGATTATAATATATTCGATTCATTTTCAAATGTACAGCAGACGCAAGGGGAAAACAGCGGACTTCAAGACTTCAAAAGACTTCAACCGCAGTGACTTCATATTTTCACAAGACTTCAAAAGAATTCTGAAGACTTCATAGGACTCCAAATGACTTCACAAGACTTTATAAGACTTTGTATGACTTCATGAGACTTCATGGGACTTCAAAAGACTTTGTTAGACTTCACAGACTTCGTGAGACTTCACGGATTTCATGAGACTTCAGAGACTTTGTAGGACTTCTTGAGACTTCATAAGACTTCGTAAGACTTCACAAGACTTCATAAAACTTCACAAGACTTCACAAAACTTCACAAAACTTCACAAGACTTCACAGAACTTCAAGAGGCAGATTCCATGCGTATCACAAAACCTTATAGTTATTACATGAAACCTCTATAACATGCAAAAAACAAAACTTATCATATAGAGATTACAAAAGTGTTTCTTGTTTCTGAGAATTGTTTCTCGCAGTATATCTATATCTAGAATAAAGATGTGACAATGACACAAAGCGTTGATGAAATTAAAACAGAGAAAATAAACTTTACTGGTATGCGTATATTTGATTCGATTAATCCAGCATTGGAAAACTCCTATTTTCAGGTGCAAATAAATAACAAGACTAAATTTATACACAAGCAAACGACTTGTTGGTTATTGATCGACGAAGCTAGCCGTTTATCGGCTGATAGATTATCACGAGTGATAGAAATAAACAAAAAGGAATAAAATTCTTCATAAGATTGACATCGAATAGATGGAACATTTCTTATAAAAATAAGCCACTTCGTTCAAAAAGCATTCAGTTCTTAACTATGATGTTTTCTAAGATTCAACAAACTTGAATTTTTTTCCAGTACCTTGACAAACAAACAATAAAAAGTTCACCTTTCTGCTAAAATAAAACCGTCGAAAGCAAGACAATTTCATTGCTTTTTTGTGAATTTTCATGCACTAAATGTATTTCAAAACTTCCATAAGAATTCATGAGACTTCATTAGACTTCAAGAGACTTCAAGAGACTTCATGAGACTTCAAAAGACTTCAAGAGACTTCAAGAGACTTCGAGAGACTTCATGAGACTTCAAGAGACTTCATGAGACTTCATGAGACTTCATTAGACTTCATGAGACTTCATGAGACTTCATAAGATTTGATGAGACTTCAGAAGACTTTATGAGACTTCAGAAGACTTTATGAGACTTCAGAGACTTCAAGAGACTTTATGAGAATTCATGAGAATTCATAAGACTTCAAAGAGACTTCAGAAGACTTTAAAAGACTTTCAAGACTTCATGGGACTTCACGACTGAAGTCTCTGCTGTTTCCCCCTTGAGCAGACGACTCTAGTTTTTCAAATTCTAAGGAATTTTTATTTTTCTGCATTAAACTTTTGAGCCAAAAAATTTTATATTAGGGCGTAGATGTCGTATATGAGTGGAAATAACGAGAATACCCATGCCCACATCCACACCCTCTGTACAATGATTCATCGAAGCGGAAATCATCTGCAGCAATCAAGACTACGTATACTAATAGAATATGTTAGGACACTATAGCAAGTTGGAAAAATCCAATGGCAGAATACTTGATTGTGTAATGTTACTATAGTATTCTGAGTGAAATGAAAACAGAACGAAAAAAGTATTGTGTCATCACATTGTTTTTTACTTGCAAGAGTCACGTTTCGTACTTCTGTTTTTACCCACTAAGCACTACTATATAAAACAAGTATTGATTACAAATAAATTCATTTCAGATTATTATCGTCTTCTTGGTTATACTACATATAGTAAACTAGTGAGATTTTAATACCTGTAAAATACTCATTTATTAAAACATTTCTAATATTCTTAGAATCATCGAATTTCATAATAATTTCTATTGTCTATATAATTATTACTAGCACATTAAAACAAGAATAAGGTAAGATTACAGAAAAGATCACATGACTAGTTTGAGTAATGAGATAGAATATTTACTTTCTAAGTGATATATGCAACGAACAAATTATTTTTGTTAGTTATTTTAAAAAAAAAATTTCTTCCTAAGGTTTGTCGAATGAAAAACACCGAGCATTAACAGATGTCGGAAGACTAATTTAGTGTTGGTTCTCTTTTATATGTTTCTGATAGTCATCCATGAGGAGCATTATTTAATTGATTTTGAATCTGCAAGAATAAAAAAAATAAAGTTTGAATGTATGTCACATGCTTTAGTTTTGCATTCATGTAGCTAACAATGAAACAAACAATCGTAACAAAAAAATTAAAACATTCAGAAATTCATTTAAGAATTTCTTTGAATCCGTTTTACCTTTTAGTAAAAGATAAACAAAATTTTCAAAATTACATAAAAATTCATATCTATATCCCATCTACACTCTTCCCGAGATATTTGTAACAAATAAGTAACCGAAAAACCTTTAAGATAGAGACATTGTTGAAAAATTTATAATTCCAATGTGATCGCTCATATTGATTATATACAGATATATGTACGAAACAGAATGGTTAATGAGCAGTCTTTCGATAAATAAAAAAAAGGTTAAAAATACGATACTTTTTTTCGTTAGTGTCCACGACTGTACAATTGATCACGCGTGCCACACATTTTAACTTAGTGTAGGACATATAACATCGTATTTTTTTCCAATTATATATCAAGGTGTAAGTTAGAATAAACTAATTCGTAACAACCATTCTTTTCTTACGTTGCAAATTTTCATGTTTGAAAAACGAAGAAACAATCTTCATGATCATTTACCATCAGATTTATACTCTATGATATTATCAAATCGTAAACATACGTTACTGTAAGATTCTTGCATAATCTGAAGGTCTGTATTATGTAAGATCTTATGTAGACAGATAAGATATCAGTTTTTGAAGTCCACTGCTGTCATTGGCTTCTTTATTTTCTAAAAATGATGTTCTAGTAATCAAATAGCTCGGATCAAAATGTATATAGAAGGTTTTAAAAAATAAATTTTCTTTTTTATGTTTACATTAGGTGAAATAACGTGGTCAATGAGAACTAAATAGTTTTCTTCCTCCGGCAGAAGGAAAGCTAGAAGAGAAGAAAGGAGAATAATGATATTTTGGAGATCAGCGGATGTCCCACTAGAGTAAGAAATTGAATCGTAAAATGCATTCGAACCCAGGTCGAAAAGTCTGACATAAGATCTTATCACCTACATGTAAGATTTTACAATATGGACGAAATCTTACAAGAATCTGACAAAAAATCGTAGTCTAAGAAATCTCGCATCAGATCATACTATTAGATTTGTGAAAGATCTTACAAGATAACAGGATCTTTCAAGAATCTTATAATACGACAGATAAACAGAATTCTTAGACTACGATTTTCTGTACAATTTTCAGTTAATCTCACAAGATCAGACGTACGATCTTGTAAGATCTTACTATCTGATTGTTTGACCTGGGAAGACATAGAAAAAAAGATTTCTATGGTTATCACAAGATTGTATAATAATATCGTAGACAATCTTATACAATTTTCATATGATTTTGTAAGAATTGTACAAGATCTAGAGGCCAAGCAGTTTGATCAGGATAGTTTTGTTGTTATGAAAATTGTGATTACTAATTCCAAAAAGGTTATAAATGAACAATTGAATTTTAATTTTTCAGACTTTTCAATGAATTCAAAAGATATTCAAATGAAAATGATTCAACAAAGATCAGGTTTGACACTCAGTTTTGAAATATTTTTCGTTTTCACAATTAGTTTATCTACTTTGAAGTTGATTCAGTAACAAATGGAAAGCAATTTCACATAAACAATCATGGCAATACCAATGAAATATCTTTGTTAACGACATTGCCTAATGAACTACTACTTCAAGTTTTATCTTACTTGAACATTGTCGATATTTGTAAATCATTCTATGGCTACTATCAACGTTTTGATAATCTCGTATATGTGTGTGCTCAACATATAACGTTGCCCAGTAATATGGATAAATCATGGATTGATCAATATGTTCCGCAATTCGAATATGCTATTAAGACAATATGTCTCAATGAAAAATCTTTGAACTTCGTTTTTACTAATGAGCGCTCATTTCCAAATCTTCAATTAATTAATCTTCAAGGCAATGATTGGAATATGAGTCTCATGTGTGAAAAAAACTCTCCTTCAGTTGTCGTGTCATCTTCTCGAAGTTTTCTTCAACGAATTAATTATTCTGACCATACACTTCCTATCTATAGGAGAATTCCTATCGATTATGTAGGTTAAAAAATAAATGTTACTATATACATAACATTACCAAATTGTATTTCAGGATAGCGATACATATTGGGCAAATTTATCCTGTCAATTTATTCAACGTTTATCAATAAATAGATGTTCTATAGAGGATATATTTATCATAAGTCGTTTGGCACCGAATTTAATTCATCTAAATATCGATTATTTGCTATCAGGTTGGAACATTGATTATTATCTCAATGAATTAAATTATACGGAAAGAACGTCACATTTAGTTAATCTGGCTATAAAAACAGAACAGAATATAGTGTTTAATCAATTGGAAAAAGTTATCAATAGTTTTAAAACATCACTTAAGAAATTAAAGCTCGATGTTAAGTGTTTTGATCGAATTGATGGACATCGCCTAGAAGAATTATTCAAGTCTTGTGAAAAACTTAATAAACTTGCATTTTTCTTTGAATGTAATCGGAATAGTATTGCATTCAATATTAATGATTTTCAACATTCTTTTCAAAGTGAATGGTGGCTCGATAAATGTCGTCCCTCAGTTTATATTCAACATAATGATATCGATGGTACGACTGTTACTTCATTGCCACTTTGTTTTTCGTTCAAGTTCAAGAATTCTCTAAACAATTGGTACATCAATAAAGGATATGAAGATTTATCATTCATTCGTTTTCCTACAATTAATCAAATTCATTTCGTTAATGGTAGTCATCGGTCGATTAGTCTTGAAGATTTGTATTTTATTGATCGTGTGTTTACTTCACCTAATCAAAGTCTATGTTTTAATTATTGTGATTTGAAATCAGTAGATATACTATTTTATATGGTAAATTTTATAGCAATTTTATTTTTTTACATAACAATACTATTTTTATTTTTAATTACAGCTTATGGATGATCCATCAATGACACCAGCATTACCTAATGTAAATCATTTTATTATTGGTTCAAAAACCAGACTTGATTCATTAACATTATGTGTTTGGATTCTTCTAGCAGTAAATCTTATACGTTTAGATATATCCAACTTGACGACTTTTAATAAAATGGAATTGGCAGAAGAATTGAGAAATATGATGAATGATGATACACGTCTAAAACCAAAGTTCGATCGCATTAAAGTATTATATATTTTTACACGATATGATGATGATGATGATATACAAACAAAAAATGATTTAGTAATAGCCTTTCAAAAGGTTTTTATCGAAGCAACTATTTGTTGATTAGAAGAATATCATTTTTTTTTAATTTTAAGGTGTATTCAAATAATTTCCATATGCTTTTTAATTTTCTCAATACTGTGTCAATTAGTCAAGAATAAAAAGAATCTCTATATTGTTTAACATGATTTAAAAAGGAATTATCAATATTTCTAATGATATTTACTACAAAGAAAATTTAACAAGAACTTTCCTATGATTGATTTTAAGTAAATATTAAGATATTATGTTTATCAATATTAAATTTGTTTTCAGAAACATTTGCATAAATCATCTGAAGCAGATTTATATTGAAAAACATCGACAGATCCCAAAGAAAAAATGATTCCCTCAATTTAAAGGTGGGCAATGCCTTGAGCGGTTATCACCATTAAATTTTCGTCTGTCCGTTACACAGGGTGTCTGTGGACCGAGGAGGTAGTTCTTCTCTTTTACTATTGACATGTACACCGATAAAGAACATGAAAGAAAGGGATTTGTAGATATGAATGCTTTTATTGTACAACGGTTGATTATTCAGAGCACAAACAATAAGAAGTTTTATCAAAAAACAAAAAAGTAGAATAATAAATATGAAATGTTTCCGCTATTATCTATATTCAATATTCACGCAATGCACTTTTTACAAGATGCCTAGGTCAAAGGCGAAATTTTCAGTTTAATCTTTAGCAGTATTTGTTTATATGACAGCAGATTTTGCATTATACACAAGCATCTTTAATTACAAAAAGAGCATGAGTATTTTGATTTATTACTAAGTATAAGTCGATTTTCAATAAGAATTTGTATAGAAAAAAAAATACAGCATAGTTGGGTTGTATATGATGCACTAGTAAAATAGTCATGAAAATTGTACTCAAATTCCGTGTACTGAAAATAAAAGAGGAGCTATAATGAACCTATTTGATCACCTACTGTTATATGTTCGTAAGCATTTAGAGTGAATCCATAAAATGACCAAGTTTTTAGGGCATTACGATATTGCAGCACGATATACAGAGTGGATCAAAAGTCACTTTACCCAGAAACAATTGAGTATCTCCATTATGGCTCGACCAAACGAGCTCATTTTTTTTT